TTTGAGAGTTTGATTGCATCCCAGGTTCCCATTTGCTGCAAGGTCACCTCCAGCTCCTCCTGTTGAAGGATCTTAAAACTCCGTCCAGCTTCAGGGCCAAACAGAAAGGAATCTTTTCTTTTATCCCAGTGATGTTCTGAAGGTCCAAAAGGTAGATACCAGGAATTGTGAGCCCCTCTTCCCTCCCCCCACAAACCTCCCCCCCACCGCCCCCTCCACTCGTTTCCAAATAAAACCTTTTGCCAATTGGAAGAGTAGAGGGGGTTTCTCTCTCTCCCGCTGTCCTGACCAACAATTCCCCAATAAAACTGGTCATTCATTTCACGGCTGTTTGCAGGGAAGATACTGTGGGCAAATCAGCTGCCTATATATTGGTGATCGCCTCTGAAATACACAGTCACTACACACACAGACACATGTATACAGAGACACAAACACATACACACGGAGACGTGCGTACCCACATACCCACGCATAGAGACACAGAGAGAGAGAAAAACGGAGAGAGACAAATCCACACATACAGTGACAAACACACACATGCGCAGAGGCACACACAGAAACAGAGAGAGAGAGACACACACACACAGAGAAATACACAGACACAGACGGAGCGAGAGAAATGGGGCGAAACATTTTTTTTTCCCCAGCGCTTGAGTTATTGTCTGAGTCAAAAGCCTATAAATCATAAATCAGGCGTGGTATAATAAATGATTGTATATAACCCATGTTAATTTCACACTCATCCAAACACTGCAGAAACGTGTCTGAACTCCAATTATAAATTACATTCGCTGTAGTTCCCTCTCACTGTGGCGATTTTTCAGTTTTCAGACGTGTATCTGCCCTCAGCGACTGCTCTAAAAGTGGAACTTGCTTGTGTTTTTTTTTCATCGGTCGTGAATGAAAAGTGTCAGCCGGGCTCAGCCGTTCGCGCTCTGGCTTCCTGCTCAACAGGTTGTGAGGTCAAGCCCTTGTTTCGATGGGGCTTCGAGCTCACGGTCCAAGCTGCAGCTGTGGAGTCCTGTAGCTCAGTGGTTAGAGCACTCGCTTTGCAAGCGAGAGACCCGGGTTCAATTCCAGGCAGAGGGCGAAACCTCGGGCAAGTTTCCTTACTCCACACAGAGCCCTAATAATAATCCCTCCAAAACCACAAAGAATAATAAATTGGTCATTTTCAATCTACGACTGTTTGTGGGACATTGCTGTGCGCAATTGGCTGCCGCGTTCACCCACAAATATACAGTCAGTTCACTTTACAGTGTGTTCTGCGAAGCGCTTTGGGACGTCCTCCCGACGTGAAAAGCGCTATATCAAATGCAAGGATTATTATTATTATATTAAGCTGATGCTCCAGGGTGGGGGTGTGGGTGGGGTGGGAGGAGAGGAGCATTGCAAGGTCAGAGCAGTTTTATTACCGATAAGCTACGCTCGCAGGGTGTAAGTGTCTTGTCCCAACTGATATGACTTATGTGAGGTTTACTGTAGGTGGGATGAGTGGGTGGGTGTGGTTGGGTGTCTAAACACCCCATGTTCGATGTTCTATCAGCCTGTGTGTTCTTTTCTTATTAATTGAAGAGAACTGGTGTCAGTTGATGAACGACCGGTGCAGTGAGCACCCTATTTCACGCTCCGGACTTCGAACCAAAATCTCCGAGTCCTTCAGACTCGGGCGAGACTCCACCATCGAGTCACCGTCTCTCACCACCCGCAGAGCTTCTCCGTGGCTGTGATTAATTACTCAGCGCCCTAATCACCGTGAACAAATCCCAATGAGCGTTCATCACAAACACGCACTTTCTGTAATTTTTTTTATTCGTCTGCTACGCGTGGAAACCCATCACCGTGTCTCAGAGTCTCCAAGCCAGGCTGGGAATTCCATGCCTCCCACCTTACACACATGGAAAGTTCCCTGTGTTTGAAATGGAATGCGCTCTCTCTCTCTCTCTCTCTCTCCCTGGATGGACGCATCTTGTTCACCTAATTCCAGAGAGCATCAGGCACAAGTCGGCAAGAGCCAAGGCTTGGGGACTCCAGAGTGTGCGTAGGGATAACTGCTGGAGTCTAACCAGCTACAACAGCATAGCTTGCCATTGATATCACTGTCTGCAAAGCTTTCCCGCTGCTCCTCCTGCTAGGACAGGCAGCGGGAAAGCTTCGGTGACAGTCCGTTAGGGCTTTGGCTTGCAGGGTTAACAGGAACCGAGTGCGGGAAGAATCCCTGCTCCCAGTGGGATATTTTTTCCCGTAATTCTGAAGTCTGCCCTTTTCCAGCGAGATTTGCTGCCCGTATGGCACGTTAACAAAGACACGGACACACAGAAAGGGCATTGTTACTGCTGGAATGTACGGTATGTAAGCGGAGACGTCAGATGCGGGGTGGAATGCAAAATGTATAATTGTCTTCGTTTGGCTTCATTTCTTCAGAACCGTGCAAACTCCCCATCGCCAAGGAATCGAGTGGGAGGTTGGACGCTACGTCTTTGTGTCTCGAACATGGTTTGCAGTGTGTCCACTCCCCGCCCCTGTTCTGTGATTTTACGCTCCAGATGAACAGCTGCATCCCAGGACCACAAACACAGGATTGTTTCAGTCGAAACAAAATTCTTTCCATGCGTTCCTTTGTATTTTTCTCTCTCTCTCTCTCTCTCTCATTCATTTCTTCCTTTCGTTCACTCTCTCTCCTTCTTCCCACTCCTATTCCCTTCCCTCCCTTCCTCGGGATCTACTGCACGAGTCCAGAGATTTAGCGGTGACAAAAGGCTGATATTCCCTGATATTCCTGATCTTCAGGAAAAGTGGCCTATCTGAGGTTGGAGGTTCTTTCACGTGACGAGAGGGAAATGGACAGAGACAAAGTAGTAGGGGATTGGGAGACAGGGACTTAAGCAGATTTGAAACGATCTCCAAATTTATCTCTTCAAATAAATGGTTGTGAGTTTTATCCATTCAGCTGGGAGGTGGCTAGGTCCTGAGGAAGGAAGACTATAATCAGAATAATAATCCTTACATTTGATACAGAGCCTTTTGTGTTGAGAGGGCAGCTCAATGCGCTTCACATGATAGACTGTAAAGTCTAGCGACTGAGTGTTTTGTAGGCGAACACAACGGCCAACTTGCGCACAGCTAAGTCCAGCAAATAGCCATGGAGAGAACACGCAATTGTCAGCCAGGACACCTGGAGAGGGAAACTCTCTTCTCTTTTCGAGCAGCACCGCGGGAAGTTTATTAATAAGAAGAAGAACCTTTGCATTTAATATAGCGCCTTATCACATCATTGAGACGTCTCAAAGAGCTTCACTGAGTTTACCGTAAAGTGAAGCGACTGCGTATTCTGTGGGCGAAACACCCACCTTTAAACGTCCACCTGAACAGGGCGCAGACGGGGAGAGGGAGAAAAAGCGGGGAAGTGGGATTAGAAATGTAAGAGAGCGGAGGTGAATGAATCAAAGGATGGAGGCGGCTCAGTGACTGAATGGACCAAAAGGGCCGGGACAATTGCTCCGGACACTCGCAAGGGTTGATAGAAGAAATCGCCAGCCACAAAACCCAAACGATTTGAGGAATTTAACGTCACCCATAACCGTTTGCCTCTATTAAAAATGTTCCAATTAAGAAAGCACATGTTTCATCTCCCTCTCTCCCTCCCTCTCTCTCTCTCTCTCTCTCTCTCTCTCTCTCAATTGCCCAAGAATCTGGAGTAATTTCCATGTGAAAAGCAAAGCTCTCTTTTCATCTGTAAAAATGACTTTGCTGAATCACCGCACTAGTAATAACTGTTTGATTTAAATTGTCTCTTGCCATTTTCATCCATCATTCCCCTTTCATTTCACAGTGGAACTGAGTTACATGTTAAATTAGTCTTGGCTTTACAGTGCCTCTTATATATTCAGCATAAATTGCCATTTGGTGCAAATGAAATCATTGTCTAAATGGCGGGTGTAAAATGCCAATCATCTTTTTTATGTCTAACATTTGCTTTGAGACCATCTATGTAAAGATTGAACATAAACAGCAGCCGTTGAGGAACTGAAATCACGTCTCTCGTTTGCAAATGCTCTTTCCTTTTCGCTATTCACCCTCCGAATGATTTTTTTTTTCGGGTTACCGACCTGTCCGTGTGCGTATGCGCTCGCGTGTGATGCGCGCCCGCGTCTGCGTGCTTGTGCGCGTCTGTGTGAGCGTGTGTGCGGGAAGACGTTAGAGATCCTGTGACATTGTTACTCTGTGTGATTGAGACTCACATCTCCAGGAAATACGGCGTCCAACAGGAGTTGGCCGGGACGATAATAATAATAATAATAATAATAATACTCGCATTTGATATAGCGCTTTTTACGTCGGGAGGACGTCCCAAAGCGCTTCACAGAACACACTGTAAAGTGAATTGACTGCATATTTGTGGGCAAACGCGGCAGCCAATTGCGCACAGCAATGTCCCACAAACAGTCGTAGATTGAAAATGACCAATTTATTATTGTTTTTGGTTTTGGAGGGATTATTATTAGGCTCTGTGTGGAGTAAGGAAACTTGCCCAAGGTTTCGCCCTCTGCCTGGAATTGAACTCAGGTCTCTCGCTTGCAAAGCGAGTGCTCTAACCACTGAGCTACAGGACTCCACGATCAAATCACACGTCAGACAACAGCAAACAGAATCAATTTAGTGGCAACAAACCTTCCTCCCAGTGAAGAGTTCAGCCACTTGGGCTCACTTCCTCTTTCGGGCCAATGGCTCCCAATTAATTAGCTCGGCATTCAGCAGCTGCCCTGACATTTGCAGAAAGTTTAACGCGTTATCATTTACTGTATCGTTCTCTGTGTCCACAGGCCTCCAGTCCAGGCAAAGAGATGTAAGCAATTACTCTGCAGTTTGACCTTTTTGAGGCAGATTAGTGTTTGGAAAATAGACTGAGCTGCCAAAATCGTACGGCAATGTGTCTTACTCATGATAAGACGAGACGCTGGCCCTAAAGTTGTTGTTGTTATTAATAGGAAGGGACGCTCAGAGCTGGAGTCGGTGAGGGAAAGGAGCGGGCAGGAGGTTGAGGCAAGAGGACAGTAATCATGTTGTTACATTGACGTGTGGTACGCGGAGATGCAAGTGGATCATTGCCTAAGACTGTGAGAGCAGAACTGACCAGAATAGGTTAAAAATCAACCACCACAACTTGTATTTGTTTGTGGGGTCGCCTTCATGTAGGAAACGCATTGGAGGGTCAGCGTAGACTGTGGGCTCAAACTCCACGACACGGGGCTTGAACTCACAACCTTCTGGCTCGTAGGCGCGAGCGCTTGAGGCCGGGCTGACACTCTGTCTTGGGGGAGATAGGGTACTCAGGCTCGTCTGTATCTATGACCCACTGCTTTGAATAATAATAGTAATAATCCTTGCATTTGACATAGCGCCTTATCACATCGTTAGACGTCTCAAAGCGCTTCGAACGGCATCTCAGTGCAACTGCCGAGCACCATCACCCTATCCGGTGAATGAGATAAATTGACAAAAAAGCCGGTCCGCCATCATTCATTTATATTTTGTTTAGTAAAATCACGCTTTTCTTCCCGGAGAGAAAAGAAAATCGCCGCAGTCGAACCACGGGCATGAAATATTTATTTTTAATCCTCTCCCTGTTACAGTTAATGGCAGAATTCCCGCTGCTTCGGAACACTGCAATTTCCACATCTCCAGAGGAAGCAAATGGGAAAAGAGGTTTCGAAAACGGCATGTGTCAAATTAAACGTCTGAGGTTTTTTTTCGGAGGTAATTAGGCGAGGGAGGAGCACACGGAGGGGGTGCGCGTGAAATAAAAACCCGTTTGCTGTTCACAGACGTCATGTGCCGTAAGCACTTTGTTCTCGCGGAGCTATTCTCGTGAAAACGATGTACGCGCGCGTGTAGAAAAAAAGATCATTTTTAATTTATCGGATTTGAAATGAAATCAGGCATAATTTCATTTCGAACAAAAGCTTTCGCTCTCTCTCTCTCTCTCTCTCTCTTTACCTTTTAGAAAGTGTCGCGTTTAATTAGCTGCGAATGGAAAGGTTTTTTTTTGTTTAAGAGAGGCTGGGTTTCTTCCGTCTGGTCCGTGAAGCGGTTTTGTCGATTACACTTGAGCGAATGGGTTTCGTTTACGCAGCCCCGGTGCAAAACAGTTCATTCTGTTCTGCAACCGCCCCCCCCTCCCACCCCCACCCCCCACCACCTACCCCCTCCCGCCACCCCCCCCCCACCCCCATCCCAACAACCCCCGCCCTTCCCTTGTGGTACGTCGCTGTGCGCAAATTGGCTGCCCCCCCCCCCCCCATTTTGCCTACAAATCCTCTCAAGCGCTTTGAGACGCGTCGATCAAGGCGTTGTATCCAATGCCGGTGATATCATTATTCTTGTTACCTGACTGCTCCCTCGCTCGTTGTTGATGCCTACCCCCACCTCGCCCCCTCCCAACCCCACCACCCCCTGCGCCCCCGTTACCGGCTGCGTTGCACAACAACAAAATGACATTTGTGTAGCGCCTCTCACATCGGGAGGACGTCCCAAGACATACATCACAGGAGTCGCCTTGCAGATAGGCCGATTGCTGACCAGATGCGAGTTTTTATTGATCGAGCAATCTGCAGCCCTTCGCTTAACTCAAATTGACAAATCCAGGGAAATCCAATTTGTGGACAATCAATTAGAATAATCTCTGACAACACGACTGAAGGTATTTACCTTCTGTGAGAGCATCGAAAGCTCTGTGGATACGATACTTAAGTTTGGGACAAGGATCCCTCTCTCTCTCTCTCTCTCTCAACCCTGAAATTCCCGGCGCTTTTAGCCTAAAAGTCAAATTACACGATGGTTTTCAGCGCTTTGGGACGTCCTCCTGATGTGAAAGGCGCGATAACAAATGTAATTTGTTCCTGTTGCTGTTGAGCAACCTGTAAATATTGCAGTGCTGAATGCAGTCATATAATAATAATAACAAATCTCAGATTTAATACAGCGCCTGTCGAGTGACCGACACATCTCAAAGCACTCCCTTCTCTTTTCGAACAGTGTCGCGGGACCTTTAAAGGTATCCCAGCTAAAGTCCCGGGAGTATTTCCGTTGGACTCGCCCTTTGTAGGACGTTTATGAGATAAACTAATCGACCGAATCCTGGAGGTTACTGAGTTTCTATTCTTCTCCTGGTCCCTGATCCGTCTCTCCCACTTTGGCCTTGCCACCCCTCCCTTTCCCACCAGGAGTAGAATAATAGATTAGCTGGTAAAGTATTCATGCTGTGCTATAGTTTGAGTAATGTAGCTGTCAAACACTCTCCAAACCTCCTTTGTCTGATACTTTGACTCAAGATGCATCATATTAAACATACACGCCAAACTTGTCACTATTTTTGGGAGGACTGAACTGATAACGGAGGGTTTCTGTTGCAGATGTTCAGCAACGCCGTGACTGTCCATTTCACATCTGTATTTATAATAAGAGGACCCATCTCTGGGCTTGCGATATCAATAACCTTTGCATTTGATACAGTGAGTGCCTTATCCCGTCTTCACGATGTCTCAAAGCGCTTCACAGCATGTACTGTAAAGTGAATTGACTGGATATTTTGTGGGCGATACGATTGCGCGCAACAGCGTCCCACAAACAGTCGTGGATTGAGCGATCGAATTATTTTTATTTTTTGAAGGAATTATTACCCCCCGGAAAAGCGATCCGCCAATCGACTAACAACCAAGTACCAAGTAACTAACAACTTAATGTTGGGTAAACAGAGGCGTGTAGAGTAAGGAAACTTGTCCAACGTTTTGCCCTCCGGGAATCGAACCCAGGTCCTCTCACTTACCAGGCAAGTGCTCTATTTTTTCGATGATACTTGGACACTGACGGGCAGTTTTATATATTAAGACAGAAACAAATTTAGGAGCATATTTCCTTGGAGACCAATATCCAACTGATATTGATCAGCACTTACGGAAGATCAAACTTTTTTTTTCAGTAAATGACTGGAAATGATTTTATGTTCCCAATCTTCATCTTTCATTTCATTTTATTATCCACCTTTGTTTATCTATTTCCTTTTGCCTTCAGTGTCTGACATAAATAACGTTTGGGATTTTCACACTCAGCTGGGGTTGGTTGTTGAGGACACACATTGGCTGCCGCGCTCGTCTGGAAAATCACTCAGTCACTACACTTCAGAAAAATTAGATTAATAATCCTGTCTTTGACATAGAACAGCAGCTTGCATTCATATAGCACCTTTTACGCTATATAATAATCCTTGCATTCGCTGCAGCGCCTTATCACGTTGTTGAGATGTCTCAAAGCGCTTCACAGAATATACTGTAACGTCGATTGACTGTATATCTCGTGGGCGAAACACGGCGGCAGCCAAATAGCGCACAGCTGTTTCTTTCTCCGAAACACATTTTATGGGCGAAACAAAGTTGCCTGGCGATTTCTGTTGACGGGGGGGATATTGAATCGTAACGAAGTGTTGACTTACACATCATATAAAAGTCCCAAGCCCAGCAGTTCAGCTCCACAGATAGACCAAGCGATTGGGAGCATTATTGATTTCTCTGAGTTTAATTACAGGAGAGAGTAGCAATGATTTGAGGCAGCTCTGGGAAGCCTGACATATTCATTATCACCGAGGCCAGGTGATTTAATTAATCAAACGCGCTTTGTTATAAAGTAAGCAAAATATCAAGTACCCACACAGAGCGATAAAATGATAATGACGACCACCGTTATTATTTTTACAGCGACCGAGAGATTAACGCGATACATTGAAAGCACGAAATATAATTTAAGGAATTCCGAACCAGCTCAGGCTCGCGATGTGCGTGGTCGTGTTTATAAATAATCCTCGTGTAACTCCCTATCATTTCGTTGAGACACCTCAACGCCCTTTACGGAATGCATTGGGAAGTGGAGAGAGGGTGTATTTTGCGGGCGAAACACAGCAGCCAATTGCGCACAGTGACGTCACACAAACAGCCATGGAGTGAGCGACTGAGTTTCTTTGGGGGATTGTCGGTCAGGATAGCGGGAGAAAGAAACCTCCTTCTCTTTTCGAATAATACCATTAAACGTCCAGCATCTCCGACAGTGCAACACCCCCGGGCACTGCATTGGAGGCTCAGCTTAGACTGTGTGGATTCCACGTCTCCACCCACCTTGCGATTAGAGGCGAGCGTGTGAGCGTCTGAGCCAGGCTGACGCACAAAACATCGCACGTGCCGACGAACACGAATTGCCTTTGAGCAACTCGATAATCACGCATTTTCTTAACAAGAAATCCGCTAAGGAACGCCGCCCATTAGACCCTATTAACCCGGGTCTCATACAGAAAGCTCCATCTCCTGCCAGCACAGAAACGATTGGGCTCATCAATTAATTTGATTGAGTATTTTAGTAATACAGCGCAATAAACATTACCCAGGGGGACTGCCTCGCTTTCCCGAGCTAATGATTAAATTATGCGCTCTGCCGAGATGAAAGGGTCAGAGCAATGCTCCCGAGAAAGCTTTCTCGCCAACCATCCATTTCCATTTTTATGAGGACTTATTTCAAACCTTGTGTCCAAGCCCGGCTTTGATAACAGACATGGCTGCCCACAGCTTGTCGGGCTACTGTTATCACTTCATTCTCAGCCACTGGGCCCCCGAGTCTGTGAGTCAAACCCTTTAATTAGCTAAATAGCTGAGGTCAGGGGTGTTTGCAGTCTTGTAGCCAAGCCCAGAATGCAAACTAAGCAAGAACCAAGAACCCGCTCTCCCACTCCCCTCTTCCCATTTCGCCCACAATATATGCAGTCAATTCATTTTACGGTATGTTCTGTGAAGCGCTCAGAAGCATTGCGACGACCGTGATCAGGCGCCATATCAAATGCAAGGATCATTGTCACTATAAAAGGGAGAAATTCCTTTTTCTTATTCATCGAATGCCTGGTGGGGGGGGGGGGGGGTGGGGTGGGGCCGGGGAGAGATGTGAGACAATCAGATAATTAAAGATAATTGCCGCGGAGGCTTTTAGATGCATCCGAGTGCTGAACACTTTACACATTCGGATGAAATTGCTAATAAATCTTATCGAACGGTATAAAACAAAAAGGATTTTTTTATTACAGAGGCAAGAGTAATAAATGGCAAGCCGTCTCCATCAGATTAAGGTAAGGATTTTTCCTTATTAATAATAATCCCGATAATAATCGCGAGACTTTCACACTCCTGAACGTCTCAAAGCGCTTCACAGTGAAGTGTGGTGACTGTGCGTTTTTGCAGGCGAATGCGGCGGACAATTTTCGCACAGCGACGTCCTGGTTAGACAACTTTTTTGAGGGGCGGGGGTGGTGGTTGGGGGGGGGGGATTGTCAGCCAGGCCACGGGTCGAGAGAAACTCCCTTGACATGTGTCTTGAACCTACAACCTTTCGACTGGGCAATGAGAGCGCTGTGCTTTGAGCCAGGCTGACAGCACGACGGACTGGAATGGTTAATAATTCAGATTCATTTATTTAACGGCCACCAAATAAATGTTAAAAACGACATTCAGACAACTCTGCTGTTTCCAGAGTGTTACATTTGCACAGCTCCGAAATGGTCAACATTTCTCAAAGCACCGTTTAGTCAAACGGCCATAATACGGTAATTAATTTTTCTGAGTTTCTCCCCCAAAAAACTCTCATTTACATTTTAATAATACCCTGTGACCGCGGAACGATTTACATCCGACAAACACTCTCTTGAGACTCGATGGAAGTTTTCAGCCGTGCCGCGCGGAGGCAAAGGGTAGAGTTTGCCTCCGAACGGGGAACCTTAGAGAGGGTTCACCTCGT